TTTCCCCACATTGCTTGTGTGGTCTAGAGATAGGTGGACTTTTTTCGCTCGAAAACTAAGCAAGATACGAAAAATATTAAAGAGACAATAAAGTTGTATCTCTATTTGTATAATCCAAAGAGCATAATAAAAATTGCACAAAATACAGTGGCGTACATTTTTTTTGTCACAAATATTTGTTCACGACACACCACTGGACTTAATAGATTTAATCAAATTAGGGCTAAATTATATCCTTGATGTCATAAAACCACCGCCAAATTACAAAAAAATTAGGAAGGAAATTTAAGATACCATTTTTTTTTATTTTAACACCCTGTATCTTATCAGACCTACGTTTATATCAACTTTTTGTTTTAAAATTACTCTTAATCGTCTGTTGAATTTATGATACATACTTAACACTCTGAATAAGCCGGACTGGTTTGGCAGGCCCAGGCCTAGTAGACTTACATAGGCGTAGGCGAAGGTTTTAAAGGCAATGCTAAGATAAAAAAATGTTATATACCCTCCCCCACCGCTTACAACCTTCAAGCCTCAAATTTAAACTCCTACAAATAGTTGTCATAAAATTGTCAGGACGCCCTAAAACGTCAAAAAACGAAGTTTGAGCGATTTTTACTTTTTCCTTTTTTGTCTTTTCTCCGAAGCCACCGGAGCGATTTTCAAAAACTACAAAGCTTTTGCGTCTTTGGCATGCTTCTCAAGTTATAGGCGTTATACTCGTAACATTAGCGGACAAACCAGTCGGAAATCAGTGATACGGTTTTTCGTGATCCATCAATCCAAAAAACGTCATTTTCTTTTTTTTTCGTGATTACACAATGGGGAAGTAAAAATCTAATTGGAATGTTTGCTATACGGATGCCAGGCTTTGCACGCCCCATTTATTTGGAACCACTTCTAACTGGTTATTACTCTCTGCTCAGCAGAAATAAAGACACACACTAGTCTCACAATTTTATTCAACTTCATTAAACATCAGAACAATCTAAATCGCAGAATGTAAAAATTTGGTACAGTCTGCGAAAGCGAAAGATTCGCCACTTTTGGCCACAGACAAGGTAAACAATAAAGGAATCTCAAAATTCTCTTCGGGGTCTTCTAAAGGAAGATTTTAATTTAAACGTCCGTCGACCTACAAAACTGTAAGTTTTTAAGAATCAAATATACCCATTTTTAAGACATTTCAAACATTAAATCGTTTATAAATCGAAAATCGTCAGCTTTAGAGAAATGTCAATGGTAAAAAGTGACAAAAATTTGACCGGGCAAAAAACTGTGATTTACAAATAAATTGTTGAACAAGTTTGATCCGGGTTACCGTGGGGGTATATTCAATACTTAAAAGCTCAGCTAAACATTGTAATGGGTTGTCCAATAGGGACGCAGGAAAGTAAACGTCAATTTGACATAGACGCCATCTTTGTTTTCTGTCACCGACGTGTCATTTTGTTAGTTGAATGTTTACCATTGATCGCTATGGAGTCGTATTCGATTGAAGACCGCATTAAAGTTATTCAAGAGTACTACAAAAATGGTGCAAAAATAAAAAACGTTTCGCGCGCTTCGTGAACATTTCGGTCGCAACAACCGCCCAAACGAAACAACCATCGGTCGTCTGGTGCGTAAATTCGAGGCAACAGGTTCTGCGACAAATCTGCCAGGCTCTGGCCGGCCAAGGAGCGTTCGCACACCGGAAAATATTGCTGTTGTGAAGGAGAGTGTGAGAGATGATCCGAAACAATCAACAACGCGTCGATCCCAAGAATTGGGCATTTCGAGAACCAGTTTGCTCCGCATTCTCCACAAGGATTTGAATGTACACGCCTACAAGATCCAATTGACGCAAGAGCTGCGTCGGGCTGACCATTTTTCGCGCCGAACGTTCTCAGATTGGCTCCTTGAATACCGCCAAATTGATGCCAATTTTTCATCAAAAATCATGTTCAGCGACGAAGCGCATTTCACTTTGAATGGGACGGTAAACAAGCAAAACTACCGCATCTGGGCGAACGAAAATCCCCGTGAGTATCAAGAGCAGCCGATGCATCCTCAAAAAGTGACTGTGTGGTGTGCATTGTGGTCAAAAGGCATCATCGGACCTAACTTTTTCGAAAATGCGGCCGGGGACGCCGTTACCGTCAATTCTGAGCGATATCACGTGATGATAGAGGACTATTTTTTGCCGCAACTTGAAGGAACGGATATGGACGATGTTTGTTTCCAACAAGACGGTGCAACATGCCACACAACCAACGTCAATATCCATCGATTGCAATCCTTCTTCGGTGATCGCGTGATTTCGCGCAGAGGAAATGTGCCATGGCCACCAAGATCGTGCGATTTGACCCCCTTGAACTTTTTTTTATGGGGATATTTGAAAAGCAAAGTCTACGTCAACAAACCAGCCACCCTCCAAGAACTCAAAAACAACATCATTGCCGAGATAAATGCCATAGAACCGACCATGTTGCAAAATGTCATTGAAAATTTCGACCATCGCGTGGACGTCTGTAAATCCAGTCGTGGTGAACATTTGCGCGATATTATTTTTCATACATACATGTAAATGGTATAAATGAACCTTCAAAATAAAGTACCCAACTTGATTTGAATATCAATCTTTCTTGTTTTAATATGCGTTTACTTTCCTGCGTCTGTTTTGGACAACCCCATATTTGAGGTCACCAAGAGTCTAGATTAAAGTTAATACCTTGCTCTACAAGACCCTGAAGAAAGATTAATTTAGTTTAAAGCGGTTTCAACATTGTTTTTCAGGCCAAAATTGGCGAGCTTTTCGTTTTCGCAGACTGTACAAGAAATCTCGTAATGTACGAGATTAAAAGTTTCTGTACTAGATTAATACAAATCTCGTACACCTTGTTACGAGATTCTAGAAATTATTACGCACTCAACATTGTGTGAAAAAGTGTAACAATGCATGCAAACATAAACATCGATTGTAAATCAATGTTTCAGTTGGTCCGATTGGTCTGTCAAATATAACTCGTTGTTTTGTTAGATCGATGTCAATTCGGATTATTTATGGCCCTTCTCTAGTAGCAAAAATACTCTATCATTCAAGTGAGTATTGATCTTAGTGACTCAATACTCTCATTTTATACTTCGTAATTCATTTATGGGTACTCGTATTACAGAATAGCAGAAAGCGCCCTGCAGCGCGTTGACATTTCGTAACCTGGTAGTCATATTTGGCAGACCAACCTCTGACCAACCAAACCAACTGAACAAGCTTTAAATACGTAACTATTATTATAACCGGAACGACAGGGGTATTACGTATCATGAACTGTGATATTATGTCGGGTTGCGTAGCTGTATGTGTTGCCTAAACGTCATGCCGCTTGAGCTATCGTGGTTGGTTTTGTTGTGACATTTGCTTCAGAGATGGCATTAGTGTAGGTCTAAGTTGTAAGTTGTATAGTATAGCCGGGAGGAGACGGGCGAAATAGGAATGCATATGTGCATAAATTAAAAAGGAGAACGATAAAAAAAGAAAATCCCTGGTTGGTAAAGTATATTACATTAGATGAAAAAATACACTGCAGACAGGAATATTTATGAATTTTCGTTTTACATTATTTTTTATTCCCAGTTATTTATAGTTTTAGTGAAATTTATTTTGCGATATCAAATAGAAAATACAAATCAGCGCCTAGATGTGAGGCAATGAGAAAATGTTTTTTGTATGTGATGCGTCATTCCTAATTATTCTGTGATACATCTTAAATACACACGACTCAGGCGCGGTGGTGATTTCTCGTATTGCTTCTCAAAATTTTTTAAAACGCAAAAAAAATGAAAATCATCATTTATAGCTTTGAACATAACCTCTCTTCAGAAAGGACAACTCATCACCCGTATGGCACAACTGATACATATACTGCATGGACAGCATATTCAGTAACAATTTTCTCACATAGCAGATATCACTGATTTTAGATCCACACAGTAATCCAGATGCAAACTTGCTACTCGGCCATACCTTCTCAGAGATACATAGACTTTGACTGTCTCGGCATTCTGCAACCAACAAAGCACGCTGACCAACTGACTTTGAGCATGGTCGTTGAGCACGTTATTGAGCAGGTGGCGATATGGTGACGCTCGCAGCGAGCACCGGAATGAACTAATTGTACACAAACTATACAGGGTGGCGCATCGAAAACGAAACAGACGCATTTACTGGCAGCTCAGTTTTTTCTTGGAAACACGCGCAGACCTGTCGATTTTGTTTTCGAGGTGGACACAAGTTTGGCAAAGAATCACGTTAGCACCCCCAAAATCTTAAATGGAAAAAGGGGTCGAATGATACCTTACTTTAAAGGTCTTTCAATTCCCTTTATAATGATATAAAATAAATGTAGTTCAGTTCAGTAGTTTCGAAGATTTATTGATTTAAATCTTAAATAAAACTGATACTTCATGATTAGTGGAGATCAATACATGTGGCAGCAAAGTAATTTCCATTTAAGATTTTAGGGTTGGTGTCACCCCCGCCCAGGGGGCTGCACGTGTTAACCTTTTAACGGCTCATGTTCCTAAACTGGAACACTGATTTCAAAAATTCAAAATGAAAAAATCTTAGTCAAAATGATTCAACTTTCACCAATAGTCCACTGTTCCTTATGTAAATATTGTGTAATAAAGGTGACGTCTTACGCCATATATGAACCCGACGCCGAGATATTGGCAGAATGTCATCATTTGTTGTTGTTGGTTAGGTGCATCGTATTCTGAAAGGCTTTTCTTGTATTTTTTGATTATTTTATAGCGTAAAATAAATACAGGTGAGTCAGTAGATTATTGTAGTATAGTTTTAAAATAAATTGAATACAAAAACTCTTATTAGAAGTGCCGATAACGTAAATATTTTCATAGTTCCAGATCAGGAATAATGGACATTTAGTATATAAATATGGAACACTGGGCAAGTTAGTCCTTCACAGTGCTTTATTATTTTGTTTCAGTAAACTATGGCGTCTTTACCAAGCGATAGTGAAGATGAGAATCTGAGCGATTCTGACGATGAATATGTGTCGTCCAAGCCAGGCTCAGATAACTCTACAAGTAGTGACAGTGAAGAAGATTCAGAAGATGACCAACCACTCAGCAATTTTTTTGCAAAGGGGACACCAAAATATCAGTGGAATAAAGTTAGGGAAGGCAAAGTGAGTGTTTCTTTGGCGCCATTTACGTCACAAAACCTAGACGACGAGCCTGAAATAGGAAGACCCATACATTATTTCCAGTTATTTTTCTCAGATGAGCTATTAGATCAAATTGTAGAACAAAGTAATTTATACGCTTGCCAAGTTGACCCGAATAGTCCGCTCAACCTTGCTCGATCTGAATTAGAAGTCTTCTTAGGAACTGTTGTTTAATGTCGATTTTTGGTTTACCGAGATATAGTCTTTATTGTTCTGCCACCAGAGTTTCACAGGCGGCCGACTCCATGTCCAGAAAGCGGTGGGAACAAATAAAGAAAAACCTTCATTTCAATAATAATGAGAACCTACCAAAAGATCGAAATGATGTCAATAAAGACAAGCTGTTCAAACTTAGACCCTTCCTGGATAATTTACAGCAAAAATTCGCAAATCAAGTAAAACCTGAAAAACTCTGCGGGGATGAACAAATAATTCCATTCAAAGGACGCTCTTCCCTAAAGCAATATAATCCCAAAAACCCAATAAATGGGGGTATAACATTTTTATTGCATGCAACAAAGATGGCCTTATCCACAATTTTGAGGTTTACACCGGAAAAATACTACCAGTACCTGGGAAAGACGACATAGGGGCAGTTATTCCCAAGCACAAAAATCATTTTTTGTTTTTTGATAATTCGTTTACTTCTCTGAAGCTTCTAACTACACTATACAAAGATGGAATCTACAGTTTGGGAACTGTAAGGAAAGATAAAATTCATGGCCTTACGTTTTCAAGCGATAATATTACGAAAAAAAGGCCGAGGCACTTACGAGGAGTATGAAGCTACCATAGAACATGTAAAACTATTTGCGCTGAAATGGTTTGATAATAAAAATGTCTGTGATTGGCGAGCACTTTTTACAGATCACATCCCATTGACACAGTTGAACGTTTTGTCAGAAAAGAAAAAACTAAAATAAATATCCAACGTCCAAATATGGTAAAAGAATATAATCATTTTATGGGTGGAGTAGATTTGCTAGATGGGCTTATATCTTATTATAGGATAACACTAAGAAGTAGAAAATGGTACTTGAAAATATTTTTTCACTTCATTGACTTGGTTATAGTTACTGCCTGGATTCGCTACAAAGTTGAAGTTGCTGAGGGATTATGCCTTTTGGGGAAGAGTGAAAATACACGAAGACCAAGTAGAAGTATTGAAAGAAATTTTGAAGAAAAAAAGAAAAGGAGCCAAACAAAGCCCATACCGCAGTTTGACGCGAGAACTGACCAAATAGGTCACTTCCCTTGTGAAAAAGAACAAAGACAGAGATGCAAAAAGCCAGGTTGCGGACTGAAAAGATTTTTTTCCTGCATCAAATGTAATGTATACTTATGTATAAATAAGAAAAGGAACTGTTTTGGTGAATTTCATATTTAAGATGATTGACCTTTGTTCCAAAACCGGAACGTTGACTTTTTTTTTTTGCTAAAGAAAAAATAAAGTATTTTTCCAATAAAATGTGTTTTTTATACCTATTCTAATGTCTTTTTTGAAGAAAATCTTTTTTTCTCAAGCGTAATTTAAATGTGGACCTTAAGAGGTTAACGTAATTTTTTGCCTAACTTGTGTCCCCCTCGAAAACAAAATCGACGGGTCTGAGCGTTTTTCCAAAAAAAAAAATGAGCTGCCAGCGTCTGTTTCGTTTTCGATGCGCCACCCTGTATAATCAGCAAGTTAATATTTTGTCGATTTTTTTGACATTTTTACCTGATAACCTTGCGGATCCAACACAGCATTCGTTCATTCAGAATGGATCGGACGCAAAATGACACAACTCTTAATGGCTAGGTTCTTCCTTCGAATGCTTCAGCATATGTGTAACTAAGTGGCTTTTTGTGGTAGTTTTATATGTACAGTGTGTACAATGATGTATTTTACTGGAAAAAGACGCCAGAAAGTCGGGATGTTTCTTAATCATGTGATTACCTAAAGTCTCGTTACGTCTGAATGTCGCGTTACAGTGAATACATGTAATCAGCTTATGGCTACGTTCTCCCTCAGAATGCTTCAACATATGTATATCGAAGTGGCTTTTTGAGGTGGTTTTATACGTACAGTGTGTACAATTATGTATTTTATTAGAAACAGATGCCAAAAAGACGGGATGTTTCTTAATTATATGATCAGCTAAACCCTCATTGCGACTGAATGTTGCATTACAATGCATACATGTAACCAGCTTATGGCTGCGTTCTCCTTTAGAATGCTTCAGCAAGTGCTTCCGTAAATTGCTTTTTATAGCAGTTTTATAAGTACAGTGTGTACATTCATGTATTTTACTAGAAACGGATGCCAGAAATTCGTGATGTTTCTTAATTACATGATCATCTAAACTTCGATTACTTCTAAATGTAGCGTCACAGTGAATACACGTAATTAGCTTATGTATTCGTTTTCCCTCTGAATGCTTCAGCATGTGTCTGTATAAACAGGTTTTTGAAGTGGTTTTATAAGTACAGTGTGTACATTCGTGTATTTTACTAGAAACAGATGCCAGAAATTCGGGATGTATTTTAATTACATGATCATCTAAACTTGTAATACTTGTGAATGTCGCGGTACAGTGAATACATGTAATAAGCTTGGGCTTAGGCTGGCTACGTTTCCTTCCGGAATGCCTCAACATGTGTCTAGCTAAGTTGCTTTTTAAGGTGGTTTTATATGCGCAATGTGTACATTGCATATTACTATACGAATTGTCTTCGTGGCGATGTACTCCTGGAGGTATCCCATTCAGCTCACTGAAATAAATCAGAAATTAGTTTGTTACCTGTTTTCTAACGGTACTTTGGGGTGACGGTACAAGTAACCCAAGTTAAGTCTGAGTAGCTTTGCACCTCTGGGCTTATAAACCTAGACGTTTTGTCACGTGGATAGCTTTGAAATACAGTGGACCCCCGATAATCCGGCCCCTGTCTAATCCGGCGCCCCCTGTAATCCGACATGTCTTTGAATATTACATACATACGTATTTGACAATCTTCGCTAATATAGATCACGCAGGTTTGAACAGGTTACAACTTGTACGCACCACCGCTATCGTGTTCGACGCGTAAGCGTTGTTTTATTTAGTTTGAATTTGACTACTTGTGATAGCGGTACGGCCTAGCGTGCGTTCATTGTTTACTATTTATCCATTGTGTATTAAGTATAGTACCTAGTAATGTCATCTCAAACTCAGAAGCGAAAGCACAAAACATTGACAATTAAAGAAAAATGTGATATTTTAGACCGCTTAAATCGCAATGAAACTTTCAGTAGTTTAGCTACTACAATTTATGACATTAAAAGAAATCACGAAAAGATCAAAAGAAATAGGCATGCACCAATTTCAGGACCCATGTTGGCCATGAAAGCTAAGTTTTCTTATAAGGAAATAACAAAAAAAGATGATTTTGTGGCCAGCAAAGGATGGATAGAACGTTTTAAAAGTCGTCATGGTATACGTTTAATGACTATTACAGGAGACGAGCTTTCTAACGATGCCACCTGCATAGAGCCCTTTAAATTAAGATTTTTGCAAAAGGGCTTTGGCGTATGATGTCTAACAGAACGTTCGTTTCTTGTAACGAAAAATCCGTACCTGGACGAAAAGTAAGTAAATAGCGTATAACCATACTACCATGTGCTAACGCTGCGGGCACAACGCGCTTAAGATGATGGTCATTTTGAAATCTAATAAACCACGGGCATTCAAAACATTGATTTACCTGTATACTTTATCTGAAGTCACTTGAAACACTGTGAAATACCGGGTGCGTTTTATATATCTATATTTAACACGCTCTGTTGCTGCAAAAATCGCCAAATTTCGCAGCAAATATCCCCCGTATAAAATCAAAGGCAGTTTCACCGGTCCACGTGGAGTAAAGCACGCCTATGCGTGGACATAGCCAATGAGAAAGCGTGTATTTCAGAGCTCCGAACAAGTACAGGTGGCTACTGAAAATTGAAACAGTTTAGCCAGTGTCGTGTAGCGGTGAATAAACGTGTTTTCTTTAGTCTGTCCATGTTTTTTCATAGAATTTATTAGTTTGTGTGTTTTTGACTTTTGAATACTCAGTTTACTTGTTGATTTAATTGTTGTGTTGATTGTTCTTGTGTGTCCTAAATATGGCTCTTTGGAGACCTTGGGAAAATGCTCCAAGCCACGAGGAGATGGTTGATGAACCTGTGCAGGCAGAATTCTCTCATAAAGATTTAGAGGAACAGACCCAAAGAGTAATCCTAAATATGTATGATTGTCTGAAAAACGAAAATCCAGATTCCTCGCAAAATCAAATTTTAAACAGAATTTGTATCCTGACAAAAATCAGTCGGTCTACCATTTATAGGGTTATAAAAAGGGGAGATGTAGTCAACCATTCCTTCCACAGAAAGCGCATAGGGCAAAAATTAAAAAGAATAGACGTGGGTTTTCAGGAAGATATTCGTCGTATAATATACGGATTTTATAAAGAAAATTTTTTGCCCACGTTGGAAATGATACGGGATAAATTAAAAGATTATCCTGAAGATTTTTATAATTACAAATGCTTAGACTCACTGCACTGTATTGTAAAACTGTGTGGTTTTCAATACAAAAAATTAGATAAAAGAATGGTGATTATGGAGTCGTCTCGAATCGTTGAATTGCGCCAAGAATTTTTGCACAAAGTTAAAATCTATAGAGAGCAGAAAAGAAATCTGATTTACCTGGATGAAACGTGGTATGATACCCATGATGTTGTGCAGTACGGCTGGGTTGACGACAGCAACAAGTGCATTTTAAATGCACCATGCAACCGTGGAAAACGAATCATTATTCTCCATGCTGGCAGTGAAAATGGATTTATACCTAATGCCTTGCTGTTATCTGCCAAAAATATCAAAGAATCATGTGCCGACTATCATGAGGACATGACCTCCGACTTATTTGAAAAGTGGATATAGCAGCAGTTAATACCAAACATTTCCCCAATTTCAGTGATTATTATGGACAATGCGCCATACCATTCCCGACAGAAAAACAAAATTCCGAATACAGGCACAAAAAAACAAGTCATTATTGATTTTATGAAGGATAAGGGAATGGAAATACCACAAAAATCAACCAAAGCCATATTATTGGATCTTATTAAAAGACAAAAATTTGAAAAAGAGTATGTTGTTGACAATCTGCTTC